ACTTGGGGGGACAGGGGACAATAAAGTGGATAGGAGCCAGCAGTGTGCCCTTGTTGCCAAGAAGGTGAATGGCATCCTGGGCTCCTTGGTAGGAGCAGTGCCAGCAGATGGAGGGAATGATTATTCCCCTCTATTTGGCACTAAAAGGCCACATCTGGAGTCCTGTGTCCAGTTGTCACCCCCCTAATAACAGAAAGGATGTGGACAAATTGGAGACAGTCCAGTGTAGGGCAAGGAAAACAGCTGGGAGGCTGGAGGACATGTGAGGAGAGGCTGAGGGAACTGGGTGGATTTAGTCTAGAGAAGAGGAGACTGAGGGGGATCAAATAGCAGCCTCCAACCACCTGAAGGGGGGTTCAAAAGAGGATGGAGCTGGACTGAGACCAGAAAGAAATGCCCTGAAGATGGATGGACACACGGAGAAAGTGTTGTAAGGGTGTGGGTTTGAGACAGAGAGTGGGAGAAAGACACGAGAAAGAGTGCAGAGCATGTTAGGTTGTGGGTGCACCCACAGGTTTGATAGAGGCCATATGCGATTTCCTTTCAAGAAAGGTTTTTCTCTTTTAAAGAAAAAGGAACTTTCCTGAAAAGTCACGCTCCAAATGATACTGATCCCCAGCTCCGGGCAAGGACATCCACTGCTGGACAGGTATGAAACTCATATATTATATGTATATGCATATAAACTCATGTATTTTCCCAATACATCAGGACCACAAAGGGCAGTTGTGCACTGAATTGGGTGAGAAAAGTTTTCCCCTTCCATGATCCTGGGGTTTCAAATTTGTTCCTACTCCTCATCGAGATGAACCTGAGAAACGTTGCAGCTGTTTTCATGAATAAGGGTGACTTATTCCAAAATTTCTGAGAGTGGGACATGCACCAATACATAAGAGACTGAGGTTCAAAGCTGTTTTCTGCATGCATTATTCAGGCCAGGGACTTGATTCAAAGTCCCTGGTTCCAGGCAAGAGGCCAGGCATTTGGTTATTCTTGAAGACATCTCTCTTTCCAACCAGAAATTTTGGTCTGGACCTGAGCATCCTTCCCCAGGGAAAGTTCAGAGAAACCTTCCCCAATGACCTTCAGCCCAAGGAGATGCAAAAAAGTTTGTTCTTGAGTTGGGTGAGAAGGAAATATTGAGTCACAAATATTTGACCAGCTGGAGCCTGATATCAGCTGGTTCCTGTCCCTTGACAAACAGCGAGTTTACACTCGGGATGCTGGAGTTACAGCCAGGGGAAGAAAATTGTTAAAACTGTCAAAAAGCTTTCAAAATGCTCTCTCTCCTGTAGGGTCCATGGGTTATTCATAATGCATGATGGTGCAGCGTGTGGGTTCACACAGCACCTTTTCTAGCTGACCAACACAACTCACGTGTGTTTTTTCCACTTAAAGAGTTTAGCATATTTGCTTAATTCTTATCTAGCGTACTCTGTGTGCGAGAGCGATGCCATTAGCTCAGCTATATTTACCAATCTCAACCTGTCTATATTTCTGTTATAAACCCCTGGCTTTGGGGCATTTTAAATCATCCATAAAAATGTGCTGCAGCATAATTTTGGTACATGAAGGCAGCTCTAGCTTTTTGTAAAATTTCAATTTCCTCATCTCTCTTATTTTAAAACAAATATTGTTTTAGCTTTAAGGTAATCACTGAATCTTTTACATGATATCGTCCCGGTCCCCCTTGTTCAACCATAATTGTCAAGTCATGTCCTATTACAATTCTGCTGTATTTTTTTTAATACACAAAAATTGAACATTTTTTTTTTTACTTGAACACTTTAAAAAGTGGGAACTTGTTGCACAGCAGGGTGATATATTCATGAGTATTCATTTTAAATGTGTGAATAAAATCACTGCTTTTATAACCTCATTTTTGAAATAATACAGACTATTTTTTTTTGGCTATGGACAGAATTACACAATGGATTATCAAACCAGAGACTCATCCATCCATGCATCCCCTCCTGCAGGCTCAAGGATTGCTTAAGCCTGGCTTGACTTTTAGGGCCAAAAATAAAACTGGATTTTAGCCTGACAATAAATTGCCTCTCTTTTGGGAGGTTACTATTAAGAAGATATATGTATTCTGAAGCTATGCTGTGTTCAGAGAATAACATCCCATGGGCCAAATGCATTGGCTTCCCTTGAAGATGTTGTGCAGCGGAGAGAACTGGAATGCTGATTTAACCTCAGTTCATCATTCACCTTGGCTTTAACTCAATGCAAACACTAAAATGAGCTGATTCCAATCAATAGTGCATTGTTATTTATTGAACACCAAGAATGCACAAAATATGACCACTCAAGGAACCATCCTAATGTGGTAACCAAAGCAAATTAATACAGTGAAACCAGACATCTGAGCCTTGGAGGCCTTATCCAGGTAAAACTTCCATGATAGTCACTTGGACTGGCCTGCTGTAATCAGTACATTCAGGAAGCAATTAGGGGTTTCATGCACTTCCCTTTAAAATTAAATACAAGACCTTCCTCTGGCTTCAAACAGACACTGGATGGGTCAACCTAGTATGCAAGAAAGCCATGCCTTGCAACCATTCTAGCACTCTGCTTAAGGCACCCTTGCTAACCTACCACCTGGGCCCTCACAATTATTTTTTAGTGGCTTTATTCTTCCAGCATCCTTGTGAAGTGAAGAAGGACCCTTGTCCCTCTTCTCAGTCAGGGAAGAAGGTTTAGATAAACCCAGGGAGCTGTCCCAGGCACCACATGGAAGTGCGTGGGAGAGCAGGG